TCAAAAGTTTAACCACACCTTGGTTCGACCGAACCTCTTAGAGGTTCGGCCACACCTCCTCTTGAACTTCCTCTTCTTGCTTCCTCTTCTTCCCTTTTGCTCCTCTTGTCTTTGTCCATGCCTCGATACTTGGCCAAGGGGCCTCCTACCGTGCTTAGGACCGTCATGGAACCTGCAAAAGATAGCAAAGATCACGAGAGCATGGGGATGATAAAATTATGCATAAAGATTATCAAAACAAGCGCAAATAAGCATACTTTTCATCCATAAAAGAAAAGGAAGCCATAAGAGGAGAAAAGAGGTAGAAAACCTAAGAAAAACAGGAGAAAAGAGACCAATACACTACCCCTAAGGGTAACATAAATGTCACTCATCAGATGCCTAAGCATGCGTCAATTTTGCCAACTATTTGTGAATATAGTGCTTGACTAGTTAATTTGGTTAGGAATTGTGTGAGTTCCTGGTATGTCAGGGAATTTGAGTATTGGTTTGCAACTATTAGTATTGTTTGCATGGATCAATATTATGCACATTGAGGAGGACGAAGGCATTTGTTCTCTTAGGTAGCTTTCAGACGATATTAGATACATTTGTTCCCTTCTTGCTACCCATATTGTTGCTTGTGCCCTTTTTATTGATTATTTAGCCACATTACAAGCATGTATGAGCCCCATTGGTTACTAGTCCCAAGCTTGGCTTGGGGAAGCTATTAGTTTGTGAGGTGAGGGGGTTGTGGTTACACTTTTTTTTTTGCACAATGTGGGAATAAAAGAAGAGTGATTGTTCTTTTGATATTATGATTGGAAAAATGTTAATGGTTTGTGTTTCAAAGTTGAAATTTTCCAATGTGAGATAAAAAGAAAAAAAAGAGCAAAGAAAAAAAAAATTGTTTCAAATGTTCTATGTGAAGGTTTCTCAAGGAAAAAAAACGAAAAAAAAATTCAGAAAAAAAGTTCAAGTTTGAAAAAAAAAGAAAGAAAAAGAAAAAAAAAATTAGTTCAAAGTTTGTTTTAATTCACTCTATTTCCTATTATCATACTTTGTGAGTGAATATGTAAGTGTTGGGATTGTTGTTATGTATGGGATTTCTTGGTGAATTTTTGGGGAGTTAAGTTGTGATTGGAGATGTTTTGGTCATTACTTGTTTTTGACCTTGGGTTTTGTTAGGATATGGCTCCCTTAAGCATGGCTTTTCTCTCACATTTTCCTAAATTTATCCTACCCTTTACCCTAGCCTTACATTACAAACTTTAAAAACTTTCCGACCTTTGTGTATAAGAGTTGTATGAATGTGAAAGTGTTGTTTATCAATGCAAGTTATGATTTGACATATTTGGAGTCGACTAGTAGGTTGAGTGTACATTTTTTTAAACATACGAGAGTGTGAGTTGGGAGGGCATTGTTCACATATAAAGGGGTTGGTTGGAGAAAGATCGAGTTCATCTTTTACTCGCCACATAAATGAGAGTTGAGTGTGTGAGCACTAGTCTTGAATTCTATATGCTCATGTGGTTTGCTCTACTTGACAATTGCTGGGGAGGAAGAATGATAAGATGAATGAGATTGATTGACATTGAAGCATGTTCATTAGATTTGCCTTGAATCGTTTGTGCTTGATTTTGTTTACTTGGGATGAAGCGTGTTTTATATGTTCATTGATGAGCTCTTTGCTTAGGGACAAGCAAAGGTTTAGCTTGGGGGAGTTTGATGTGTCTAATTTATATAGTGTTTTACCCTCGTCCTTTGGTCATAACTAGTAGTGTTTTTGGCTCTTTAGAGCCACTTTTAATACTAATTGGTGTTTTCTAGTGTTTTTGTAGTTTTGCTTGAGTTTTGTACAAAATTGCACATTTGGAGCGTTTTTTGGGTTTTTCATGGAGCAACTACTAACATTAATAAGACACGACCATCTTTGAAGCCCAGGACCGGTTAGAGCCGGTGATTAAGGGCTCGGTGTGTGATACCTGGGCATTTGGACCAAGTATTCAAGACCCAAAGAGGAAATACTGATTTGGCCGAAGAATCAAGCCCAATCGAAGTCCAAGCCTCGAGGAAGAGACCGGGCCTGATCGGGCAAGCTTGCGCCCGATCGGGCGCGTGTTTTTAGAGGCACCTGATTGCCGAGATCTTAGTTTTTAATTAGGATTGTTTTAGAGATGTTTAAGTACGATTTTAGTACGTAATTTTTACCTTCTCTTTTAGACTTTCTCTCTCTACTTAAAATATTTTCTCTCTCTAAAATTCTCTCAACTTTGTTCTTAATTCCATTCCTTAATTCAGATTACTTTTGGTAACGATTTCTTCTCTTTTAATTTTAGTTATTTTCTTTAATTCTTTCAACATGTTTTATTCTATTGCTTTGATAAGTTTAGATTTAATTATGTGTGAGTAGTTTTATTTCTAGGGTTTATGGGGATCTAATAATAATATGAAGGGACAATTTGTGATTGTTGATTATCAATGCTTAATTATTTTCCTATTGATTGATTTAATGCTATGCAATTAGGTTTGGCCAGATTTAATTGTATGAGTTTAGCAATATTGATTCGAGATTCGAGAGATGAGAATTGATGTTTAGGCTTTAGGCTTAGTTTCAATAGGCGGACTAATTTATAAATTGTTAACTCGAGATTCGAGATGAGATTTAATACCGGTAAATTAAACTCTGTGATTGTAATACGTAGCGAAAGCCCTTTATAATCTGATTAATTGATGCATTGATGATTGCTTATTATGATTTACCCTGGAATATTGTTTATGGGTGAACCTATGCCCTAGGCTTTTTCTTCATTGATTTACCTCTTATTTTATTTCCTTCTTACTCTCACTTCTAGTAGTTTAATTACCTTTTTTTTATAATAATTTGGTTACTTGATAATTTAGATTGCTTTTAATTAATTAGGAATAAATTGAAATGTTTCCCTGTGGTTCGACCCTTCTTCCCTATCCACATAGTTAGTGGATTTAGGTTTTATTTTTTATTAGGTGAATACGACTTGAGCCTGTCAGTTACCGAACAAAAAGGAGTCCATAAGTGTTCTAAACGAAGATGTAGCAAAGAGAAGTGGTAAATTCCCGAGCACTTAGATAAATCACAATTACTTTTCTTGTTTAAAAGAACTTTAATCAATAAAAAAGTGTTGTTTGACCACTTTAAAAGGACATTTAATTAATCGATTCCACGTTGTATCTTGTGTTAAATAAGATTATAATTGAATAATTAATTGATTGATTGATCACCTAAGCCAAGGAGAATCTTGTTTATTTTTGCTCCTTTCACAAATTTGATTTAAATAAAGAATAACGACTTTGCAATGTAATTCCTACGTGATTAATGCTTGTAAATAAAATCAACTAAATTAGGTATCGCGTTGCATATATTGTTTGGTGATGAAAATGTAAAATAGGAAGAGCTAGTAGAGGCCACACAAGGGCTAGAATGGCGATTCTCCTTTAAAGGGAACATTATTTTAGTACCCTCTCTCCCGAACTCATTTATGGATTATGTAAACCAATTTGGGCATGGGTAAACTTATGATTTGTGCTAAATATCCCATGAACTCCACATGGGAGAAAGGCATGAACGAGGTTTATGGGTTTTCCCAAAACTCATTGGTGACTCATACTTGTTTCTTACAAAAAAGCGTGATGATAGAATCAATTCTAATTCAAGGTCCCCCAAATAGTCAGGAATTCAAATCTTAATACACCCTAACAAGTGTAAAGTCCTAGGCTTTAAATGGCCATGGACATCTAAGGAAGGACCCCCCTACGATGGGATCACCCTCCTTACAGTGGCGACTCTGTTGGGGACTTAGAGGTTACAAGATTAGTTCTTAGTTATGGTACAAGGTTTCCAACACTAGGCTGCCTATGGATTGTCACTGGAATCAACTTGGAAAAGCTCTAGTTAGAGAGCAAGACTTGAACCCATAATATCTTCCTTTTATACAAAAGTAAAAACCAAACAAGTAACATTGCATCATGCATAATCATAACACACTTTAACCTTTGGGGATTGGCTCATTGACCAGGAGCTGCCAACACAAGGCTTCTATCCCGATATCAATAACAATCATCCCAGCCATATCGTCATCAAAATGTTGAGAGAGCGATGTCATGAGTCAACATGTTGAGTGATTGATTTGTGCATCGTTTCTTAAGATATGGTACCCTTAGACACCCAAGCCTTTAACCTTAGAATGAAATTATGTGTATCTTGTCTTATGGTATGTGTAGACACCCATTTGTGTCTCCCCAAAACCAAACCCAGTGATGAGTACCTTTCACGTCGAATCATAATCGAATGAAGTGAAAGTGTTGAAAGTCTAGTGTTGCGGTTAGTTTTTATTTCTTTTCTTTCTCTCTGTTTTTGATAACCTATTTTAAGAAAACAACCAATCTAGTTTGGTTTGGTCCATAGCAAGGGTCCAATAATAGTGTAGCTGGGTCGTGTTCGAAAAGAGCTTTCCAACGATATACTACTACAATTTCCTTGTTTTTGCGACGCTTTTAAGGCTGATTTAGGACGCTTAAAAGCGTCGAGAATTTTTTTCTCGACGCCTTCAAAAAGCGTTGAAAAAACGCGAGTCGAGAATTTTGCATGACACCAAACAGCGTCGAGAATCTCGACGCTGTTTTGGGTCCAAATTTTTATACTAAGCGTCCATATTTGAACTGGTTGGCGCAATTTCTCAAATTTTGCGACGCTTTTTCATGTCTACCAACAAAACATTTGCGACACTTTTTATTATCCTTGGTTCCTAATATCCAATTTATTGACACCCTTTCCTGCTTGTGTTTTAATTTTGGCGACGCTTTTCAACGTTAATGCAATTAAACAATTCCTTTCATAATAGTGTCTGAGAGTTCTTATTTATGCATAATCAATGCTTTCATGAGTGCTTTTTTACTGATAATATATTAGGGCTGGTAATTGAAGACAACTCAGTATCCTTGTGCTATGAAAAATTCAAAAATCATATATTAATAAACAAAAATCTCATTTTATTATATAACTTTACTAATATCTTTCCTTACACTGGAATATTCATACAAGAAAAAATAGCACAAAAATGTTTCTAAGAAATTAGTTATGGATTTTAACAGCACATTTGTCGTCTTGTCTAGCAGACAAGCTCATTTCTTCACACACAAAAAAAAAAATCTTCAATCAATCTCCAATAATCCAGCTGCTCCTTAATAAGATTGTAGGTGGGCATAAAGCAAAAGTTCAGATTATAGACTAGTGCATTTGAACCTGAACATGAAAAACAGGGTGCATTAGTGGGAGTACTTAAAGCAAATTACATATAGTAAGTATACTGACTTCATTTTTGGTTTACAAGTACCAAATTGAATGACAATAAGCAACGTATTGCACGTGTAAACATGAAATAATTCTTACAAGTCAATTGCCATGTTCAATAAGTCAGCTAACCAAAATTATATATATAATTATATACAAAGTATCATACCTTAAGAAAATATGCCTACATCTTGGATTGCTAATCATCAAATTCCTGGAAGAAAGTAGAGAGCCTCATTGTTTAAATTAATAAACTCCTCAACATTTTCAACAATGGTCAAACTCTTTCATTGATGAAGAGCTACAAAAGGTGATAATAATCTTACCTATGCACTCTTCTTTGACTTTTGGAAATGAAGAGAGTTCCCACACCACAACGTGTACCACCTCCATAATAGTGACATAATTAAAAGCTTCTGCCATTATAAAATGACTAAAAAAAGATAAAAAAAAAAAGTGAATATCAAAATAAGAAGATAAGTTTTAGCCATGCTATATATTATACGCAACAAATTAAGAAGTTGCATAGCATAGTTGAGTTGTAAGAGATGGCCACCTCTTGCATTACTCTCCATCTATGAATAAAATGACCTTCCGAGTTGTGACTAAGAATGAATAAAATACACTATTAGAATAGATTAGAGCATTATGTCAACAGAGGTATATAAAATGAAGACTAATTGGATATTGACAATATCTTTCTGAAAACAAAAATAAAATTTAGAATCAATCATACCAGCAGAAATCAAATGCAAATAATTATAAATGACAGAAGCATAGAGAGAAATAACATTGCCCACATAACACTTATTCTAGTAGCGAATCGAATTCAGAAATAAAAGAGATCGAAAAAATGCAATTTATAAATGCAACCACATAGTGCAGAAAACGGTTTAAGCGACATGGAAGAGTTCCCTCAAGCTTAGGAAAACTAGAAAATCTGTACATACTATAATATACTTTAATAACAAAATGGAAAAGAGATGGAAATTAAGAAAGATTCCAAGGATAAAAGAAAAATTCTATCCATTTTAAGGATTGTAAAAGAGTCACTATCAAAATTCTATCCATTTTGCATGTTTAAAGGCAGAAAGTTTGTTATACAAATGAGTAGAGAAAGACAACAAGTAATAATCAATATGACTAAATTGGTTCAATCTCTTATTATTCATACAAAGCACTAAGTCGAGCATTGTTTTCTTTTTAACTCTTCAAATCATGCAATATTTATTCTTTACTTCAATCGAGTAATCTTTAACAAGCTAGAAGTCACACTCTGACAGAAATAACCAATTTTCATGAAAAAAGAGTAGAAAATTATATCTCAATTAAGACTTATGATGTGTACAACCAATTCTGAAAAATAAACATGTATTGTAATAAAGACTTAAGATCATGAAAAGAGAAATGTCACTAAAAAAACTTGAACTAAAGGTTTAAAGAACTTACCTCTAAGTATTGCAGATAAGACATAATATATATACTTGATATATGTCTTTCAATTTGACCCCGTCAAACATACTTTGATGTAGTCATCCATACTAAAATAAGTACCATAATGAAATGTTGTTATAAACTGAAGTTCACATTGTATAAAAAAGAGGTATATCTATGTTCTAATCTATTCCCACAACTGCAAGATGGCAGTGACCATAAAAGGCTTCTAGACTTAATTATGAATATCGATAATCTTTTTTCATAATCTTTCAATGATCTAGTTAATTGATTAATATTGTATAAGAACCATAATCATTAACAAGCCCCCTCCTTTACAAAAATAATAATAATTCACAAGCCTCTATTAATTTGCCATTTAACAATAATTAACAAACCTCTGTCAATTTGCCATTTAACAAATCCTTCATGATTTTCATATTTGCTACTACTCCAAGAGGATATTTTAAGTAATGTCATCAAATGCACTACTCTTAATTAAGCATCACATCGAGGAGCATATTAGCGTGACTAACAACTAAACCAAACAATATTCATTTTAAATTTCAATTGTTCCAATAACTATCAAGAAAACCATTACTTAAAGCATTCGTTAAATCCTATACATTTAGATCTTAGAGAAGATTTAACTTGAGACAAATTCATAAAATCTAGAAATTCAGACTTAAATAAAAAAAAAAAAAAAGAATTCAAAAGTTAAAAAAAAAAAAAAAAAAAAAAAAAAAAACAAAACAAAACAAAAAAACAAAAGATTTATACTTGATACAAATTATGTTCAATTTTCTATTCTTAATAAAAATTGACAGACAAAATGTTCGACATAGAATTTCATTTAGCTATTAATGAAGTAGATTTGGAACTACAGAAGCAGAGAGGTGAAAGAAATCATTGACCGACTCGTCCCATATCTTAAGCAGTGAATAAAATAAACAACTAATTTCAGATTTGGACTAAAATTGTAGCCTTGTAGTACAAATAGAAGCATAAACAAAACTCCGAAATTCTTTGACGGGAGCCAAACCCATCTCTTAACAAAACATTACTCAAAATCATAACCCTTCAAATGCTTTAAAATACTCAATTCTAAAAGGAAATTAGGAATAAGAAATTACCTCAAATCATCGATCTGAACAAAGGGACGTATTTGATTAACATTGACGATGAGTAATGAAAATTCTGCAATGTAATATACAAAGAAAAAGTAAATTTGAATCCGTGAGTATTTCTCGACACTTTCCAAAGTCGAAATTAACTTTAGACTTAGAAAAGTGTCGAGAAATCACGCACGCTATAATAATTAGTTGACGCCCCTATTATAGCGTGGAGCTAATAGCGTCCAAAAGATACGCATTTTGTAGTATTAGATATATTATATGCCCAATTCTGATGAATAATGAGGAAGTTACGGCCAAATTACTAAACTGGGCCCGGTTTGATATTTATATGCGGCCCAATGATTTAGAGGAGGACCTAATATGATTTATCGTTCCTAATGCGATTAGGATTGACTATAGTCTTCTAGAAAGTCCCTTTGAATCCTAATTTAATTAGCATTGATAAGTTGACTTCAGTTGACTTTTAAAAGTTTTAATCAGAATAAAAGAAGTGTTTTTAAGGAAAATACAATTTTGCCCTCTCGTACGGTTACATTTTATCAAAATAAGAAAACGCGTGGAAAATTATTTCCAGCGCCATACGACAGGTCTGTCGTTTGGCGGCAGGCGCGCGTTTGGCGATGCGGTCGTGTTTTATTCTTTTCGAAACTCTGATTTGTTTTTTATCATATCCGGCTGATTTTCTCTATAAATAGCCTCCTAAAACCTCCGTTTTCAATCATCAATTCTCATCAAGAATCTCTTGATTACTCTCTCTCTCTCTCTCTCTTTTCTAAACTAGCCTTTTGTACACAAAATTCCGCGTTCACAAGATCTAGACACACCTAGCCAAATTCGAAGTTGCCTTCGCCCTAGAAGTGAAAGGTTTTAATTTCTAAGGGTTTGGTCCCAAATCTCTATTTCAAATATTTAATTTAATTGTTTGTTTTATATTTTCCTTGAAGTTACTAATGCGTGTATTTTGTTATTAGAAAGAGGTACAAGGCATCCAAGTAAGTGCTTTAATTGTTTGCATTGTTGTTATGATTCCTAGAAATCATGTCTAGGTTGATTTTATGATTCCTAGTGTCATGTTAGGGCATTTTGATCTTCCTAGTATCATGTTTAGGGTAACCATTAAAATTTCTAATATCAAATATGACAATTGTGATTCTTGCGATGCTTCCTATTATTTTCCTAATATTCATGTTAGTATCATGCCTGGGTTAAAGCTTTGAATTTTATTGCTTAGTGACATGCTAGGGTTTGTTATTAATCTTGTTAGTATCATGCCTAGGGTCTTGCTATTATTATGCTTTAACATTTTTATTTTGATTATTATCATTATTATTATGATTATTATTATTATCATGTTTCTTGATTAGATATTTATTGTTATTGATTGATCACGCCTTTTATGCATGTTTAAAGGGAATTTGTTACTTGTAATTACACTTAATAAGATTATTAATAATCTTGTTTAGGGTTAATTTGATTATAATTCAAGTGGTCGCCTATAATAGTTTTATTTGTGCATTAATATTCAACCAACATAGATAAACATGTTTAGGGTAAACCTTATTCATTGCATGTTAGTCAGAAAGCGCACATGAATACGATCAGAATAAAGTAGAGGCCTATTATTAGGGCAGGTTCAATCTCTTTTAGGTTGGATTTGTACGTTCATCCCCGAACTTCCATTCATGCTTCCAGACCTATTGGAGTTAACGATCTCCTGGATCGTTAAGGGGTGTAACCTTCACCATGTGAACGGTTTACAAGTTCCTAAAACTTGTAAGCGACTCTTTTGCTTTATCTTCTTTCCCTTTGGACGCCACCGTACTTTAGTGTATGATCACAGTGGGGTTCAAGTTTGGGGTAATGCTTGAAATATTCCCTACAATTTTTGGCGAGTCCAATGGGGAGGATTTCTATTTTAATTCCTAAAATTTATTTTGGCAATGATTTAGAATGAGTGGATGAGACTCGAAAAGTTCTAAGTATTTCATGTGCGTAATTTTGATTAACATTATTGTCATATGCATAAAAAAAAAACTCATTGGAAAGACCATCTGTAATGAGTTAAAAACATAGGATTTTTACACGTAGGAAATTTGAGGAATATCTTTCACAACTAGGATCGAAATAATGCTGCGCGAAACTGGAAAATTTTATCGAGCACAGAAAGCTGCTGCCATGTAGGAACTGGCGTCCAGAAAATAGAGTCTGTCGTCGACTATTTGACTTTGTCGCCAGGCGACAGAACCAAATTTCTTCCAATACCGAGCAAGAAATATGCGTTCTAATTTTGACCAGTTTTTAGCACTGTTTGCTCGATCCTACTTCCTGATTGAGTTTTTCTCAGTTTTTTGAAACCCATATGTGTTCTACATATGGACATAACCCTCTAGGAATTCATGCTCCATCAACCTGATTGAGCGCTCTGTGCAACAAAGGGTACATCCGAGAATGTTGAATTCACAAAATCATGGAAGCGAGTTTTTCTTTAACTCGCGGTGTCCCATCCACTCGTGCCAACCCTTCAAAAGGTAAGGCTTCCGTGCGGTGCATCCGGACAATTAACCATGGACCTTCTTTGACTAACCAATATGAAAGGAATGGTGTCATTCGAACAAGTGTACTATTCCGTTAGTGGGTTCAGAATTATTAGAAAGCTAATATATTCAGTAAGGTCAAGTTATCGGAATGCCTGGGTGGAGGCTGCTTTCGATCAGTAATATTAATGCATAAATAATATTACAGGTTAATCTTGACTGAACTCTTCGGGTCACACCCAAGCAACTAACGAACCGAAGCGACGAATTAATTAATAAGTCAACCGAGTAATTAATATTTAGACGTCGGGAATTCGAGCTTAGAGCGTCGAAACCAAACGTCGGAAGTCGAGTAGAAAAATGGTAAAAGACGAGACATGAAATAATAATAAATCAACAAAGACCAAAATACCCCTAGCATCGAAACACCCAGTGCTAGGGGGTATAGCCGAGCTAGCAGCCCGCATCTAGTGCGTGGGTGCTAGCATGCTGCAGCTAGCAGCCCGCACTAGGTGCACGACATGCTAGCAGTAGCTCTCGGCAGCAGTAGCCCGCACGGAAGTGCATGGGTGCTGGCCGAGAGAATGCGAGCAGCAGCCCACATTTGTGTTGCGGGGATGGCTGGGCCGAGAGAAGGGCAACAGCAAAATTGGAAGCCCACTTGGGTGTCTTGGTGCCCAAGTGGGAGTTTTCAATGTGGCACAAGGAGAGGGAGAGAGTGGGGTGCAAGTTTGGTCCCCCCGTCCACCAAATGGTCTTCACCTAATCTCTCACATGAGCTTGCCACTTGTTGATTTATTATTAGTTTAATTATTAATTTTATTTTAGCTTTCAAATAAAATGGAAAAATCAAATTCTCCCACATTGATGGGAGAAATTTTCACTCTCTTATTTTTCTTATAAATACCCAAGTTGGGGTATTGGGAAAATCACTTGAGTGAGAGTTGGAAAAGGCATCACCATTGCGAAAACCTTTGAACTCACTAATCACTCGGGTTTTGGTCGGGCCTTTCTAACTCCAACGCATTGGACCGTTTTCGGTGGTCGAGTTGTAGGTGGACTATCGTTGGAGGCCGTCGTATTTTTGAGGCTAGCTGTCGAAGTAAGAGCCCCTTCCGTTTCGGCGAAGCACGCTCCAAAAGTAATTATCTTGTCTTAATCTTGTGATTAATTTATTTATGTTTATGGTTTTATTTATTGCGAGTGCGGTCTTGGTTTTGGGTTTGTTTCCGCGGTGTGTTGGACTCACCAAACCCCAACAGCGGTATCGGAGCGTCGCTCGTTTATTTTTAAAATCGTAATATTTTTCAAGGTGTTTTTATGGCTTAATTTTTCTGGTTTTGAGTTGCTAATTAGATTAGTAGCTCGTTTTATTTACTTTAACCTTCTATTAAAGCTGTCATCAGCCCCAAACCTAGATTTCGACCCAAAAATAGTGAATTTTTGGTGGAAAAGGCATCCTGGAAATGTTTTTACCCTTCAAGGACTCGATTTTTAGCCAAAAAAACGACCAGAAATGCACTTTTCGAGGGATTTTTCATTTTGAAAGCTTGGTTTTATTTTTCACATAATTGCAAACTAATTGCATTAAGTGTGAAATTTTTGTTCTTTGAGGCTTCCAAGTACTAAAGATTCAATCTTTAATTATGTTAAGTGATTGAAACTTTATGTTACTAAATTCCATGAATTTTTGTTAAACTTTGTTGATTTAATCATTTTTAGTTGATTGGAATCATAAAGTTTGAAACTTTGTGATAGAAAATTGTTTATCTTCACATTGGAAGATATAAATTTTCAAGGATTTACAAGTATTAAAGTTGGAATCTTTATTGAACTTATGTTCATTTTTCCAACTCCCTCTTATTTTGTCAAAAACTCAGGATTAATTTAAATTAATTAAATTGATAGTGAGTAATTTCCCTCTTAATTTTGTTGCACCAAGTTAAACCAATTTAATTAAAGAATGGTTCCTCGAAATTATTTTGGTTAGATGCACTTTGAAAATTTTATTTTGTTTAAATTTTTCATTTTGCTCAATAAATTAATTCTAAAATTAATTTAGAATTAATTATAATGTCACGGAAAATTTTGGGATCAAAGTCCCGTGGCTATGGCACGCAAATCATGGTATAAGCACCCTTGGCTAGCCGGGCTGCATAGCAGCCCGCATGTGGCTGCCTTGAAGGTGCGTGCAGCCAAGCCGTGGCTAGGTGCACACGGCCGCATAGCAGCAGCATCACAGGAGCAGCACACTGCCTTGATGGTGCATGCGTGCGTGCTGTGGTGCGTGCATCAAGGGTTGCTGTGGCGTGGGTGTGGTGCACGAGCATGGTGTGCTTGGGCTTGGTGCATACGTCGTGTAAAAGGGAATATGCGTAGACGTTGCTTGCAAAGCAATGTAGTGCAATGAGTTCGTACAACATGGCAATCAAGGGCCACATTATTGATGTGTGAAAGTTCACTGATGTGGGCGGTGTAATGCTTAGCGACATTGGGCCCACTCCCACGTTCATTGAGCATCAAACGGTTGTGCGGGATGTGAGCACTCCATGTCTTAGTGCTAGGCACTTAGACATTTTGGACTACGTAAATTTTGCTTAAATTGTCTTTTTAATTATTTTATTAATCTAATTTGGTTTTAATTATTT